GTCGTTGTATGAGTGGCTTGAATCTCCTTATGTGGAAGATCAAATGATGGCAACCAATATGATGGAAATGTTTAATAAGTATTGGAGCGATATTCATGGAGTTTTGGCTTTAGCAGCAGTGTTGGATCCGAGGTATAAGATGATATTAGTTAAGTTTTATTATCCTCGTATTTTTAATCACAATGCTGCAAGTGAGATTGACAAAATATATCAAGTTTGTGGCAAGTTGGTGCACGATTATCGGAAAAAGAATGATTCAAGTGAGTCTTTAGCTCAGTCTTCTACTTCTTCTTGTCAAACCGAGACGTCGAGTGCTAATAATAAATCAGATCGCATGGCGAATTTTTATAAATTTGTTTCTAATATTGAAGCTCCTAGTAGTGTGAAAACCGAGCTTGATACTTTTTTAGATGAGCCTATATTGCCTTGGTCGGATGATTTTGATATATAGACATAGTGGAAAGTGAATTCAATCAAATATCCGACTTTATCTCGAAATGTAAAAGATATTTTGGCCATCCCGGTATCTACTGTAGCATCCGAATTTGCTTTCAGTACTAGTGGTAGATTTGTTAGTCCACATAGCAATAGACTTCACCCCAAAACTTTGGAGGCTTTAATATGTGCTCAAGATTGGTTATGTGCCGATATTCACAGTACAATGTATAGAAACATTTGCTGTTTATATTGTTTCTTTTATTAATTTTCTTATTACTAATTATTTTATTTTATTAATAGCGAATTCTACGCCATCTGCATATTTTGGAAGTTGCTCCAAGATGAATGATGAGGATGTTGATGAGGAAGTAATTTTATATATTACATAATTTTAATTTTAATCATCATTATTATGAATTTATGATGATATTGAGTATAATATTTCTTTCGTTTTTTAGGAACCATCTTCTACAATCTCTGAACCTGCCGAAGAATGAAATTATAAAGATGGAAAAACAACAAATTTAATTTTGGATAAAGAAGTGAAATTTAGTTACAATATAATTGTATTTGTAATTGTTTATTTTTGGATATTGTTTGTTTAGAGTACTTAATTTGGATGTTAAAGTTTTTAAATTGTGAATTTAACGTTTTTAAATTGTGAATTTGAGGGGAAAAAAAAAAGAGACGGGGCAGTAAACGGGGCGTGCCCTGCCCCGTCTCCTGTACCAGCAATTGTAATTTTCTACTTTTGTCAATTGTAATGTTCACTTTTTATTAATTAATGTTCAATTTACTTTCAATGCATTTAAATTTTCAGTTGTAAGCTTTCTTCAGAATTGTAATCAAATTTTCTTTCGTCCCGATGCGATCGAGAAAAGACGAAAGATAGTCTAACGGAGCAGACTACTGTCGCACGATGTTCCTTTCTGTGCCAAGAAGAAAGGCTCCCCATGAGATCGAGGATTGCACTCGCTATAGAAGGTGAAGGCGACCATGACACAGCATTTGTTGTGGCGTTTGTTGTGGAGGTGACCTTCTTTTGCTTTGGTTTGGAAGCGTTACAATGGGGTGGGGACTTAATAATTTCAAAGCAGCGTTCTCTTTGGTGACCAACTTTTCCATACTCTGTGCATTTCTTGCCATTCCGTACTCGATTGTGAGAAATTTGTGGAAAACCCAAGCTATGGCCATGGCAAAATTATCAGGTGTAGGAAGTAGGGGGAGATAAAGATGTCGTTGGGTCTCCTCTTGATGGATGATGGCATTGGCTTTCATAACTGTGGGCAGAGGATCCATGGCTAGAATCCGACTTTTGGTGTTTCTGAAAGATTCATTTAGACTCATAAGAAATTTGAAGAGTTGTTTGACTTCTTCTTTCTCATGGTCATCTTTGTGAGCAGCACGTGCAAGAGCTGGTTTCCATGAGGGCATGTAATTCATCCCATAGACCCTTGATGGTGTTGTAGTAGGATGTCACTGTCATTGATTCTTGACGAAGATTAATGAGATCGTGCTTAAGGCAATATAGGCGTGGGTTTTTGCTTTGGGAAAACCGTTGCTCTAGGTCTATCCATAAAGCAAAATGATTTGGCTGTAAATCAAACTTTGTAGGAGAGACTTAATGATAGAATTGGGCAGCCAAGAAAGAACCATGTCACAGCACCTCTCCCACAGTGTAGCAATTGATGCTTCTGTAGGTTTTTTAGGGATCCATCGACAATAACCAGTTTATTTTTGTCATTGAGAGCCATTCGCATGGAGCGACGCCATGTGGGGTAATTGTTGCCAGTCAGAAACTCTGGGACCAAAACAGCACCGGAGTTATCTGCGGCAGTCAAGAAATAAGGTGAAGTGAGATCACTAGAAGTTGGGCTGGTGTGGGGGTGACGGTGGTGTCAGCCATGGTGAAGAAAATGGTGCACAAGCGTTCAGAGATCCCAAAGATCAAGATGCTCTAATACCACGATAAGAGAAAATATTCTTGTATGTTACTGTATTATCTTATTAATTTTGTACATGAGGATTACATTATATATATATAGAACAGAGATACTGCTACACAAGGAAATATTAATAAAAGTGCTGTGGAACTTGACTGGTGCAATCTGGGCTGCTTGAATAATGCAATATGTTTGCTGGAATGATGTAATTTGTCTGCTGGCTAATGCAATCTGTCTGCTGTCTGCTGGCTAATATTCTCTGTGGCTACACATAATTCCTTCATGGGATTCATTCTGAAGGCTTTGACATGCTACGTGTTTGGGTACTTGCTTGAGGTTGTGGTTCGAAACTCAAAACTTCTAAGAGGCAAACTTCGATGTTGGAATGGAGAAGTATATAGTTACGTGGATTGAGCAGGTTACAAGAAGTACAAGGGAGTTACAAAACCAGATTGCAGTAGATGGAATTATCAAGAATTATTTGAGGGAAGCCAGTCTGCAAACAGAAAGAAGTGATGATGAGGGAACAAAATATTGTACAATGGCTGAAGGATAGTCATTGAAACATGGCATTCTTCCGTTTATGAAAGAAAGCAAGGAAATCACTGCAGTCGTTATCATCCATAAAAATGGGGGATGCTATTATGGGAGATGTGGATGAAATTAGGAATGGGCTGGTTGATTATTTCATCACATATTTTACCAAAGATCAGTACATCAAGACTTTTTGAGGGTCGAGGCCATAGTTCCCTCTATTGTCACGTCGGAGAACTTGGTATTAACTGCACGTCTATTGGATGAGGAGGTACTGGACACAATTTTTTTATCTTGATCCTCCAGCGCACCAGGACCAGATGGATTTGCACGTCCTTTTCATCAAAAGTGCTGTAGTATTATTGGGAATGATGTGATTCACGCATGCGGTCCACTATTTCTTTGAGTCAGGAAATTTACCTATCGTATTATTGATACATCATTTTATGAACAGTGTTAAATAGGAGTACAACAAATTGATGACATGTTAACATGAAATGATGTGTCAATAGGAGTACAACAAATTGAACAAAAGTTTGAAGAGCACATCTTAACTCAATAGTAACTAATACATTTTATCAACTACACAGAGAATTAAATATAAAGAACCATTTCATTTTAAGTGCTATAATTGCTTAATTATGATATAAATTGTTTATTTCAAAATTATGCAAATTGCTTACTTATCGTTTATTTCAAAATTCTGCAAAGGGCGTTCACTGGCGTATTGCAATTCTTTGAAATATTTTTCACTAACATTGAATTTTTTATTAATGAGAAAATCATAGCAATTTGAGAAAATGTTGGGGTGAATATGCATCTTTTATATCTATAAATATTTTCTCTTGTCAACCATATACTTATAAATTCAAGGTTTGAATTTTCTATAGAGATTTTAATAGATATTAATGTTTGTTTATGTTCTTAATACTTAAGTTTTTGGAAGAAAATTTTGCAAGAAAGCTATTGATGAATACTTCATAATTTTTAAGAAAAATGAATAAATATTAACATGAAAAAGGTATTGGATTGAAATTAAAGAAAAAATGAACTCAGCGGAGAGAAATTTCTATTAAGAATGATGCATGTTAATTTGTTAAGATAATGAAAGAATTGAATAAGGTAGAATATTAATGGGAGTCAGCCTGTAATTTATCATTTTACATTTCAATGGAAAGAAATCTACAATAGGTAATATAAAAAGGTCAAATTCACATGAAAAATCTAGACTTTGATTGTCCCTTTTTTATAATTAAAGCTTCAACCCTATAGGCTCTTTAAAAATATTTGAACATTTATTCTTCTTTCTTTTACAGATAAGATAATTTAATTAGCTAACTGCCTCATTAATTTCAATTTGCCAATTACTATGATTGGACAAAGGAAATTAATTAATCACTATAATCTCAATTACTACTCAACCTCATAATGATTCACTATAAGTATGGCAATTTTTTATAAACTTCTTTGTGCTTGTCACTACAATAAGATGTCTTGTTCTTCTTCTTCCATTGAAATCCATGGAAAGGTATGGAGTTGTAACACTCATTATGAAGTGCTAATACTTATTTATAATTCCCTTTAAAATGCTTATAACAATTGATATTCAGTTTGATTGTATATGAATTCTTTTTTCTGTAAGGATGAGCTTTAAATGAAAACTGCGACTTTTTCCCTCAAGAATAGGTTTTCAGTAAGATTTAGAAAGTTTAGCATGAATTAAGAAGACGTGATAAATAGCCATTGTTCAAAAAATTTATGCATATATATAGGAAAGGTAAGGATAGAGATACGGTAATTCTAAGCTAGGTATTTTTTGGTCTCGTTTGTCTTTGGACCATGATTATGTCCTTCTTGATAGGGAAATGTGAATTATTGAATCTGTGTTTATGGAGACTTTGGGTCTATTTATACCATTTTAGAATTTCTATCTTAAAACTATACAAATTAAACGAAAAAGAAAAACTAATTTTTGATTGAAATATTTATGAAATCCTTTTTCTTGGAAAAATTCATAGATTTTTTTTTTTAGCAGAGATATCCACACATCCTTAATGAGTTGTTAGGCTCCACCAATGAGAGTCGATGGGGTTAGGATCTCCCAACCATGTTTATATTATCAAAAAAGCGAATACAGAGAAGGATAGGGACATCAGCCAAATTTTTGTATGATTCATGAAACTATAGGCAATTAGGCACAAAGAGAGTGATTTCAATTTGTCTAGAAAGCATGATTTCGGGGGGCGGCGGCGCTTGGGGGGAGGGAGGGGAATAATTGCATACACAATATCGGGTACAATTTTTTTATAGTATTTAATATGAATTCATTGTGTAATAATCAATTATGACTCACGATCGGCCCTAAGAATTTTGAGTACCGTGTGCCATATCTAAAAGTCTTACACCCTTTGTGTAATTAAGAAACACGTATAGATTTAAAAAAATAAATACATAAATCTATTTATTAATTTTTGTGCCTTTTTCCTAAATATTGTGCCCTTTAATGACCCGAACTTTATTTTATTTGCAGCATAGAGATGTTGCAAATGGATCAACACCAATTTTCTTGAATTTATTTGCAGCATATTTTCCACTGGATTTTCTTAAGTGAAATTGATGTTAAATTCTCAGTCCTCTATTTATGTTACATGATACTTAAGTGCTTATTTTTAGATTTCTAAACATGTTTTAGCTTTATATCCTCCTGATAACATGATTTATTTTTAGGTTGATATGACTATCCAATGTGAGAAAGTGATTCCCCATTGGCTTGATGGTTTGTTAGAAAAGAAATTTTTTGGTAGATGTGAGAATCATGATTTTTCAAAGAATGATTTGAATAGGTATTGCATTACTTGCGATTCCTCAAATTGCAAGTATTGCATCGCATCAGGTACACATAACGATCACAAGCTACTCACCATTTATCGTCATGTCTACCAAGATGTGATACCTCTCAAGGAGATTGAGAGTCATCTTGATTGTTCAACAATTCAGGTACTTTCCATTTAGATGGTATTTTACTTATATTTCTTGCGACAACAAAAATCCATCACAAATAATTAACAGAATTTTCAGATATGGTATTTTCTGACTAAATTACATATGTTTTGGGATCTGATGTGATACTACAAGCATCTCAAAAGTTGCAAAGACAAAACAGCAGTCCCGAAAAGTATTTACAATGCATTAGTGAAGTTCTGTAACGTAGTAAATAAATCTTTGAATCTGTATTATGCATTTACTATCATATAATGACTATTTCACATACACTGGCTTTACAGATGGTCATACATAATTCATCATTTTGTAAACTCGTTAAATATTGATTGCAGCCTTACAAATGCAACAAAAAGTGGGTTGTGTCGCTAAAGCCGCTTCCCCACAATGGTTCAGGTTCACATATGGACGGCGATGAAGCATGCCATGTGTGTAAGAGAAAATTGAATGATTTTGACCGATATAGCTTCTGCTGCTTAGCTTGCAAGGTTATAAATGCTAAAAATATTATAAAACCAACTAGTCTAGTTCGAACGCATATATGTGCATGCACACATAGATGCGCACACACAAAATGGCTCAAGAGTGAGCAATTTTTACGTTTTTTCAACACCTATTCATTTTGCCTCGACCAAATTTTTAGGTTCAAGCATTCTATGAAAGGAGCAAATCTCCTGTAGCTACAAGGATGCTTACAGATGGAAGGGACGAGGTTGTGCAACCTACAAATCCAAACAAGCGTAAGCGTACTAGAAAAGGGGTTCCTTGCAGGGCTGCCATTTAATTTTCTAATGCTAGAGGTTGAGGAAACTCCATTTAAGAACTTTGCATTTAATTTAAGGAACATTAATGTTTGTTTTTCTTTCATTTATTGCTGTAAACTTTGATGATGATATATGATTGCAGTTTTTCTAATTAACTGTTAAGTTTTAAGCCTATCTTTTCAACATTTTAAAGTTTATTTGAGTAAAATATTTCAAGGAGGAGAGCATTTCCATCATCTTTTACAAGTGACAGATTAATGAACTTCATATCGTTTTTCTTCTTCCTTTTTTTTTTTTTTTCTCATTTTAATTGAAGGCGCTTTGACTGTTACAGTTTCTTGCTTGGACTCAGATTGTGCAAATATCTACCTGATTTTTTTTTAATTCCCTAATCACTGCAACATATATAGTTCATCGGCGGTTAATTAATTAGCTAAATTAGTCAATGAATAACAAGATTTATAAGTGACAAAAAATTTGGTGTCTTAATTAACACAATGATCGCTTACCTTGTGTTTTTATCCATATACTTTCAGCGGATGGACAATTAACGTCATAAATTTGATTACTAAATATAAAGAAGTTGACGAGTTTAGAATCAAAAGAAAATTAAAGAAGGCAAACTCGTATCTTGCTTTTGGACCAAATTAACTGCCTATTTTACGTTCTTTGAAGGACGGCTTGGATCTGATCACCAAGATATAATTGCCAAGGTTGATCCTTCTTGACTGATCTGATGGCTGGGATAAAATAGGCAGTTTATTTGTTCCAACAGCAAGAAACGTGTTTGCAAAAAAAATAAAAAATAAATAAAAGACTTTTCTTTCTTTTTCTTTTGAGTCAAAACTCATCACAAACTCCAACTTGACTCGAGAAGAAAACTGTTCAAGAAACCTATCACCTATCCTTTGTTTCATTGCTCCTTGTACCTGTCAAGGGATGTGTTATCCTACGATTTAATATCGAAATAAATACCAATTTATAAAGATATTGGGCTTCTCCATTTAATAAGGTTGATCTTATTAAGATGGACCCCAAATCTTAATATGGTATCAAAGCTACCTCGTGAATTTTAAAATTGGTCTGCTCAAATGAGCCACCATCTTGCGGGGGCCTATCAAGGGATGTGTTATCCCAAATCGATTTAATATTGAAATAAATGTCAATTTATAAAGATCTTGGGTTTCTTCATTTAATAAGATTGACCTTATTAAGATAGACCCCAAATCTTAACAGTACCTGCCAGTAGTTCAGTTCTTAATGTGCAGTAGGAAATCAAGCTTTAGCAATAAGCTCAAACCTTACTACTCATGGATCAAAGCGATTTTGCAAATGATTTCACCAAGAAATCGAAGATAGAACCATGTACAACCCATATACAGATTCAAAATATCAACCGGATTTCTACAGATCAAGTGCAATTTCAGATTCTAAACCTTAGCTTCTGTCACAGATTCAGTCTATTGCAAATCTAGCATATGAAGCTCAGATTCACCAGGCCTTAAACACGCAGTTTCAACATGAACTTCACAAATAAATTAAAAGACATTCTCGATTACTATAAAAAGAAAACAAATTTATTGTAATTACTCTTGTCTCTTAAGTACATAACATGATCAAACCTACTTTTACTTTATTTACAACATAATAGATGAACTTCTTACCCATTTTTTAATTACAAAAACTTTACTGTCATCCCTGGCTTCTTATAAACCATTTGAAATCAACTAATGATTGGCTTCTAGGTATATCAACTTCTGAGAGCAACTCTATGTATCGTAGCCTAGTAGAGGGTCTGTTTTGTCTTCTTTCCTCAACTCTAGGTAATTGGTAATTAACTAGTGAACTATTTTTAATATTTTGACCATTTTCAGCTTTAGTTACTTCAGTTTGTACTGTTTTATCTGCATTTTCATCTTGTTCGGACTATTTTATCTAACTCGTGTCCTTTTACATTATTGTGTATTAATTATGATTGTTACAATGTCATATTTAATGCTTAATTAGTAAATTTATTCTTATTGTGACTTTTTATGTTTTGGAATGAAAATAAACATTGGACGCACGATCGAAGTGTCTAATAAATTTAAATCTAGTACGCTTATCAATTAAACTTTAAATAAGTTATATGATATGTTTATTTTTTGTGTGCTTATAATCCTTAGATTAGCTATTGTTACATAAATATTGAGGTTAGCTTCCTTTTAAGTAGTAGTAGTTGTTGTTGTTATTATGACCTTGTTAACATGTTTAAGCATGTAATTATCATATGGTGTAAATTATTGTTGATTCTTATAATTCATTTTGCAAATTTGATGTTGTTGCTTTGTACTCCATCTTTGAAGAATTCTTCAAATTATTTTAAGTAAAATTTTGTAGAGTAGTTTTTATTCAACGTATTTTTGCATATATTGAGCATGACATCTTAAAAATTTGGACCGATTGGATCCATATTCGATTTTATATAGAATGAATATTACAATACATTTCTGTACCGGAGGATTGAAAATCTGAGTTTTAACATTTTAAATATACCTTATTTTCTATGTGATGATTTGATTTTTATAATAGTTGTTCTTCTATATGCTGGGAATGATTATAAATTTTTATGAAGTTGTTTGTCCAAGGAATTAATTTGTATATGTACTTTCTAAGAGTACTTTACATTGAACGTGTTAATGCTAGCAGAACATATAGCCCGGATGGTAAAATAGAAAATGTGGAACAAATAATGATTTTAGACCTTGTAAAAATTCGTACATGATATAAATTATGTCTCTCATGTTTTTGAAAAGTTTTGTTCAATATTGACTTCAAAATTTTTAGATAAAATTTTTGCTTGTGCATCGTGTCCAAAAATTTCAGCAACTAGAAAGTTTTTGATCGATTGCTTTAAAAATTAAGAAACAACATTTTGACTCATTTAATTACATAATTTTTGTGATGAATCTGTCATATATTATTTTATAAATCTCATAGAGAGAGAAAATTATTTGATTTTTAGTTACCCCTTTATGTTTAGGATAAGTATTTCAGAGTCTTTTTTGGCAAAAATGTGAATGCTTATGACATATTTGATTTCACATTCTTAGACGCGTTAATGTGCTTATGCTTATGGTGCATGGAGCAAAATAAAATAAAAAAGATTAGAGCTAGATACTTAGGGTGTGTTTTAGTCCCATTATTTGAAAAAATACATTCTTCAATAATGTTTGACATCATTTCAACCACACATTTTTCAATAAAATAATATTACTTGTAAATCTAATTTTTTTTCATATTTTTAAATCACACATTTTCCATCAATACACTATTCAAAAATGTATTTTTATGAAAAGAATGGAGTTCAAACAAGGGCTTAAGAAATTGTCTCTGTGGTTAAAATAAATAAATTAAATGGTAATGGCCTAGAACTTTTGGTATGTTGATTTTGTAGACGATTAAGGATATCTCTACTTATTATTCTAAAAGCAAATTCCTAAGGATTCTAAGTAATTAAATATCTCATTATGTTCATTCGTAAGTTACGATATTAAATGCATGGTTATTTTACATTAATTGTTATTTCATACATGTGATCGCATCCATTAGCATTCATGAAGTAAAGTTTCAAGAAATGAAAAGTTTTTAATTGATAATGTGGCAAAGAATATTATTTGTCCCATATTTTTAAGAGATATATATTTATGCCATGAAAAATGTGCTTGAAAAATAAGGTGTAGGGGATTGATGCATCCGGCTAATGATAACATCAAATGTTTATTGTTAACTGTCTTGTAGTAATACAGGTAATTGAATCATGTTCCAAATAATAATGGCCCACTACATTCTGATTGAATAGAGGATACATAGAATTGAGCTCACAATGTTAGTATTTTTTTTAAAAAGAAATGATAAAAATGGATATGTATTTTGAAAGGATAATTTGTGTAAATAAATATATATCATAAATATGCATCACGTGCATGAAGTTTGTGTTAGGTCCAATATTGTAATTGGCAATTCTGTGAATAAAAATAACTAAATTAAACTTCTATAAAAGTCAAGGACTTGGGTTGCAATTTTGTATAGATGGCTAGGTTAGGGTTTGAATTTGGAACAAGGTAAAAGACTCGTCGGAATTTCCCTCGCCTCACACCTAACTAAAATAGAGAGCTCGTCATTCGCTTGTCATCCTTGCATTGCTTGAGTAAAAAGCCGTCGCTCGCTTTTCGTCGAGTTGTCGCTCGAACGACAATGATATCCGGCCAATCCCTAGGTTGCGATTTTCGAGAATTTTACACGTCCCATGACACCTATTCGTCTCCAACTATAAATACAGAAGTCATGAATGAAAATTGGGTGGTTGCTACATTGTGCTATCATTGAGAAACACTTTCACATTATCTTTGGGAGATTCAAGAACACATTTCAACTTGTGGAATCAATTATTCATTCTTGAGATCCGATAATCTAGTTTTGGAAAAAAATCTCATCTTTATAATCCAAAACACCCAAGTTCCTTAATTCTTTGAGCAATGGACTCTCTTGTAGAGGATTGAGAGAGGTGGATTTCAAGCACACGAAAAACACAAGAATAGGAAATTCTTGGAATTCCACCTGGAAAAGGCAATTAGTATAAGATCAGAAGGATGGAAGAAGATAGCAGATCTTGGAGGCTGCAGAAGGTAGATCGAAAAGTCTATTGGAGAGGCTATATAGTATCTATGGCAGTGGATCGTGGGAAAGGAAGATTGACAGTGGATCTTAGAAATTACAGGAATCACAACAGCTAGAACAAGTGAAATTTGCTAGATTGAAATCACACTGTATCCCTGACTGTCTATAGTAGAGGTAACTGGCGTGGTCCCGAAGTTTTTCCCACGTTGGGTTACTCCATCAACAAATTGTGTGTTAGTTACTGTTTTTCATATTGTAATTGCGGCATTCAAACATAGGGAAATTTGACTTGTATGTTTAATCATCTAGAAAATTAATTAAAAGTGACTTGTTGCTTTAATTAGTCAACTCCGTACGTAAGGTCAAATTAATAAATTGTCTGGAACGTAAACTTGGTTATCTTAAAAGTTGAAGTAGTGTGTAGCGTCCCAGGCCCGAAGTCACAAGTGGTATTAGAGCCAAAAAAATGTGTCTTGACCTTATTATGTCTATATGAGTGCCTCATTGTGTGCCCCGCCCTATTTTAATGGTAGCAATTACACATATTGAAAAGTTAGGATGGGAGCATTTTTGAAATCTATGGATGAGAGAATTCGGTTTAAGTGTAGTTAACCGTTGGAGTGCCCCTAGTGCAACCGTAGATAATGTAGTAACCCTCACTCCTATAGCTAGTTGGTCTAAAACACAACTGGATGAATGTAATTGGAATAGCAAAGCCCTATATGCCATGTTCATGGCTGTTTCTCCAGAAGAGTTTAGGCGAGTGTCCATGTGTGAGGTAACGAAAGAAGTTTGGGATATCTTAGAAACCACACATGAGGAAACTCAGGCAGTTAAAAACTCTAAGTTGCAAATGCTACCCATGAGGTTCGAGAAAATTAGAATGAGAGATGATGAAACTTTTGATGAATTTTATGCGAGTTTAAACAACATAGTAAATTCTAGTTTCAACCTAGGAGAGAAATTCCCGAGCCTAAAATTGTGAGAAAAATACTTATATCCTTACCCGAGCGATTCAGGCCTAAAGTTACGGCAATTAAGGAAAATAAAGACAGAGATTCTATTGAGGTGAAAGAGTTAGTTGGATCCCTCCAAATTTACTAGCTGGCCTTAGATAAACCTGCAACAGAAAAGTCATTGGCCTTGAAATTTGTGAGGAATAACCGGACTGAATCTTCTGATTTTGATTTATTGAATGAGGAGGAGTTAGCATATCTTGCTAAGAAATTTCGAAAAATGTTTACGATTAAAAAGAAGCCTTATGAGAGAAAAAAAGGTACCCCGATTGAATCCAGGAGAAGATATAAATCAGTGAGATGCCATAATTTTCAAAGCTTCGATCATGTTAAGAATAAATGCCCTAGCGGTAGAAGAAATCAAGAAAAGTTTATGAATGCTACTCTCACTGATGACGAGTCTAGCTCGGACAATCAAAGTGAGAAATTCACTCGTGAGGAAAGTGAAAAATGTATAGCCTTCGTTGCTAGGGTAAAGAATGAATCTAACCAGGGGAGTGATAGAGATGATGACATAGGCAGTGGTAAGGAAATTGAAGAAGATTCTGTGAGTGAGGAAGATATCCAAGAGGCAAATGAGAAAATGTATGAGGAGAGTCTTAAGATTCTTAATAAGAACAAAGCCTTAAGGATTCTTAATAAAAACAAAGCCTTAAGTACAACGATTGATGAGCTTCAATTTGAGAAAGAGAAGTTAGTAGCATACATTAAGGAATCTACCTTAGTCTTAAGTGAAATGAAATCTATGAATAAAAATTTGGAAACTCGAGTTAAGAATCTCACCAGTGAACTTGAGAGGTCCTTTAAGAAAGTCGGTGAGCTGACCATCGAGAATAAAACTTTAGAAATCTAGGTTAAGAACTTTGTGAGAGATCTAGAGCATTCTAAGTCTCAACTTCTTGCCTTCACTAGTGGTTCATCAAAGTTAGATAACATTCTAGAAATGGGCAAGTCGACTGGTAATAAAAGAGGTTTAGGATACAAGGGTAAAGATCATAATGTTGCTAGCACGTCCAAGACAACATTTAGACCAACCTAAACATGTCCCTGAACCCAAACCTAAGGATAAGGGATCTGTAGAATATAGGTCTACCAGACAGTGTAGGACCCGACCTAGGAATAGATGCCAGCATTCACATAACTTAGGTCCTAGGTTTATCCCTACATGTTATCACTATGAAGAGTAAGGTCACATACGCCCTAAATGTCATCATTACATGAATAGAAATAAGAACATGACCTTCAATAGGAACAAAAATTAGGTGTGTGTTGGTCAGATTAGATTCCTTACTGATCAAGTGAATCGTTTAACCAAATTGGTGACACAACTGTCGGGGAACTGTTCTCCCACCAAGCAAGCATGGGTGAAGAAAAGTGACCTACAAAACCTTGAAGTAGATCATGATGCTCTTAAAGGAAAGTGCACTCATATATCTAATTGATTTGGTATTCTTGATGCCTGCTTATTCTTAACTGTTATATGATTTATGCATGCATCACTTGTATTTGTATGTTTTTTTTATTTGTTTCTGGTATCTTGCATGTGCATTTTCATTATGTTTGCATTGGCGTATGCATATTGCGCTTTGTTTTGTGTGCTTCAAATTTTTTTTGTATGTGGCGTATTCATGTTTGAAAAGAAAAACACAAGAAATTGAAAAATGAAAAACAAAAAAAAAAGTTAGGAAAATGGAAACTTTCACTATAGCATGATATATAATTCTTGAATTTGTATGTTGTGACCATGCATGAACTGAAGTTGATAAGCTATAACATAATTTTCATTGCTTGCTTAGGTTATTGTGAAGTACTTAGTATGGGTTTCTTCATGTACTATATGCACTGCACACACTGTGAAATTGTTAATGGAACTCTATCGCATGTGTAAAATTTAGGATGACTGTCACATATTAATAGGGTGACTTTGAACATGAATTGACCGAATTTATTAAATTTAAGCTCAAAAATATTTCCCATTATATAAAAGCTCAATATCTTAATGTTCTTTTTCGGGGTCTATTTGACTCGAGTAATTAAGCCTACGGGATTCCTTAAAACCTAGTGCCTATGATCAATTGACTTGGATTAATTGGCCTAAAACTTGCTACAGGGTCATCTCAGTCGCCTAATTGAGAAGAATCTGCAATTAAGATGAAAAATGAATGAGCTTGAAAATTTTGAAAATTTGAAAAATAGAATGCTCAAAGTCATGGGGAGAAAATGAAAATAATAAATATAGGTCCTAATGCGCTTATTTAAATCGAGTTTCATAAGTAGGATAATATACTTATTGGCAATGATTAACATGTCATTTCTTACAAAATAAAGGTTCGGAGTCCTACTTACATTGGATTAGTAACACTTTACACATATGAGTCAATTATACAATTTACTTCATTCTGACTTAAATTGAGTATGTGGAGAGGTTTATGACTTATCAATTATACTTGTACATGCTATCAATTGCATTTTAAGCTGTTAGATGTTATTGTTCTGATTGATTTTGATATCTTTCCTTTCAGCATTTGCGACAAAAAAGGGAAGAGAAATATGTTACTAGGGGGGAGGAACTAGAGAGCGATTGCATTTTATATCTAGGGGTCATTGAGGAGAGATAGAGACACATTGTGTTACTGCATAAAATTCATGAAATTTTGCAGTAAGGAGGACCATTGCAGTGCATTCCATGTCATATCCATTGCTGTTTGAGTTTTGATGTTTAGTGATGTTGGTGTTTCAGTTGGTGTTTTGATTGACATTAATGTCACGTTTCAAACTAACATATTGATTTGTGATTAAGTGCTTTATTTATTATATTTCCTATATTACGTGCTTTTACACTTGATATTTGAGTTTTGAATTTCAGGAAACAGGTTTAACAAAAAATGCAAGTATCAGTGATAGAGTACTTAGGTAGTTTAGTTTTGATTAAGTGTAATCCTTTGACTTATTTTTTGTATAGTTTTGTCATAGAATGCCAAAGGGGGGATTGTGAGGTCCAATATTTTAATTGGCAATTCTATGACCAAAAAAGGACTAAATTGAACTTCTGTAAAAGTCAATGACTCGGGTTGTAATTTTGTATAGATGTTTAGGTTAGGGTTTGAATATGGAACAAGGTAGAAGACCCATTGGAGTTTCGCCCACCTCACGCCTAACCATTGCTCAAGCGTTAAAAACAAAGAGCTCGTCACCACTTCATCATTCGAGCGAAAAGTCGTTGCTCGAGCGACAGTGATATCCGACCAATCCCTAGGTTGCAATTTTCGAGAATTTTACACGACCCATGATACCTATTCACCTCCAACTATAAATACAGAAGTCATGGACGAAAATTGGGTGGTTGCTACATTGTGCTATCATTGAGAAATACTTTCATATTACCTTTAAGAGATCCAAGAACACAATTCAATTGGTAGAATCAATCATTCATTCTTAAGATCCAGCAACATAGTTTTAGGAAAACATCACATCTTTGTAATCCAAAATACTTGGCTTCCTTAACTCTTTGAGGAATGGACTCTCTCATTGGGGTTGAGGGAAGTCAACTTCAAGCACAGAAAAAGCACAAGAACATGAGGTTCTTGGAATTCCACTTGGAAAAGGCAATTGGTATAAGATCAGGAGGCTGGAATAAGATAGTTGATCTTGGAGGCTGTAGGAGGTAGATTGGGAAGTCTATTGAAGTGGTTAGACAGTATCTACGACAATAGATCGTGAGATCGGAAGATTGACAGCGAATCTTAGAGATTACAGGAATCACAAAAACTAGAACTAGTGGAAGTTGCTAGACTGGAATCGCACTGTATCCCTAAATGTCTATAGTTGAGGTAATTGGCTTGGTCTCAGAGCTTTTCCCACGTTGGGTTTCTCCGTCAACAAATTACTATTTTCCATATTATAATTGCTGCATTCAAACATAGGGAAATTTGACTTGTATGTTTAATCATCTAGAAACCTAATTAAAAGTGACTTATTTCTCTAATTAGTCAATTC